CATTCAAGCCGTCTCCAGCCATTATTAGTCTGTATACATCGTAATAAAATTTACCCTCTGGGCGAAACCATAAATTACACATAGTCACTTATGTTTTTATAATATTTCTAATGATAAGTAAAAATAGTAATCCACGGGAATAGTAGGACAGTTAACAACCTATGCTGATTATAAATGTTATTCATATAACACACTCATACGATCCAGTTGCAGTAGATAAACTAAGCTCGTATTGATTATAAAATGTATTCATATAGCATTTTTTCTCAACCAAGTTACAGTAAAAAAACAGCTTAAGCTAATTATAAACATTGTTCATATAATACTCTCTCCCAATCCTGTTGCAGTGTGATAGAGAGATCGAAGATTTTATTTCAAATTTATTCCAGGTATCGTGTATTTTTAACTGCAATGTTTTTTTTTGTTTTTTTTTCGTAAGTTTTATTAGGGTTACACCAAATAAACGTGCATAATGCTAGAATAAAATGTTAGTTTACTAAATACAAAGTTTAGCCACATAACTCGCACTTATTGGATATATTCATTGAATTGTAAATTCGTCATCAGGTCTATCCAATTGAATAAAGAATATCTAGTGTCCTATTTTCGTCTTGTTACCAGTGGCTACCGTTTGTGAAGGTGGACGTGATTGGTGCTTGTCTGGCAGTCCGGGGTCCAATGGCCGAAATTCTACATCTCCTGTCAACTAATTTAAATTTTACGTAAGTTTCATATGGGAAGTAAATGGTTTAATTACTTCCACACGTTTCGTATTTACAAGAATTATAAATTAAATTGATATCAGTTCAAGTGATACAGGGTAATGAAAAAACAACAACAACAATTATGGTTAGATTGTGCAAAACAATTCTTCAAACGATGAAAAGAAGAACCCTTGCAACTTTTCTACATATTTTTTTTAAAATCAAGCAATTACTGTTATGAAAAATATATGCACTGCTTAATAAAGAGCAACTACAAGATATAAAAATATTCATACTTGTTAATACTATTTAACTGCTAAAAGTTGTTTCCGATTATCAGTTATTCCTAATTATTTACGTAAACTTATCTCGTAAAAAGATAACGTGCAAAGCTACTATAGCACTATAAGCACTAGCCGTTTCTGATATGAGCTTATAGACTAGAGGGAAGGCAACTACTCAACAGCACCCACCGCCAACTCTTGGGCTTTTCTTGTCTGATTAAACAGTTGGATTTAACCGCCAACTCTTATAATGCACCAATGAACTCGAAGTGTCGAGCATTTATTTTCAATTTTTGCGATAACTGAATATAGAAAAATTGACCCTTGGATCTGCAGCCCGACACGCTAAGTAAGAGCCTAAGGGGGTAAAGGAATTGTTTGCAACATGTGTTATTATACGGTAATAAATACGGGACAAGTCTTGCGTGTCTCATAAAAACAGTACTGTATTTGTAAAAGGTTTACAATGAAACCTTGTGGGATTTGGATTGGTTAAATTCCGTATTTGTGGTTTCGCGTGACAACAGGAAATGTAACGTGGTTAGCTGAACGAAAAGTACGTTTTCTCATGATGTGAACAATTTTCCATAAGGTCAGAGAGAGCGTAGTGTTGAAAATGAGTTTAATTTATAAGATATACTGAGTCCTTGCGACGGAAACAACTCTACATAAACATGTATATAATTAAGTGAATGTTTGTAGATAGATAGATTAAAATATAAGTAAACAAAATACGATAAACTAAGATAGATTGAAATACTGGCAAGTAATTTAGATACAACAAAACAGATAGAAACAAACAGAAATACTTGGGTAGAAATTATTTTTGTATTACTAGTTTCAAATTGGATCTCATTTAAAGTAATGTTTTTATTATATAGTATTGGTCAGAAAAACATTTGCAATATTCTAGACTGGCAAGTAATTTAGATACAACTAAACAGATAGAAACAAACAGAAATACTTGGGTAGAATACATTTTTGTATTACTAGTTTCAAATTGGATCTCATTTAAAGTAACGTTTTTATTATATAATATTGGTCAGAAAAACATTTGCAATATTCTAAGACTATAAATGAGATACTCATATTAAAACTAGTAACTTGGGTGTTTTGAAGTGTCTGAAATTTATGATATATGCAGTGCTCTAATTGGGGGAGAGCGGAGGGGAGCACCGTCCCCCTTGTTAACAGAAAGGTGAAACTCTGACTGTCAAATACCTGATCGTGAGAATCTACATTTGTGAGAAGAGATCAAGAGTTTCCCTTGTCATTCTTTTTTTTTTTTACAACTCAAGTGTTGGATATATGTGGCAATATGTTTACATATGGAAGCACATTGTACACTTAATATTGAAAGATAAAAACATAATAATTAAAAATTACACAACAAAAAATTTTAATTGTAGGTTGTTGTTGTTGTACTACATCTACATGTTTCAACCGAACCTTGGTCTGCCTTCGTCACTCATTAATACAGAATACAGAAAAATAATAAAACTACTAGATTATTACTATTTATGATTTATTACAATTCTTTTTGTATTTATTTCAGTTTCTGGTGTGCATCTAGCATTCAATTGTGAAATTTGTTTTTATAATTGTTAATTTTAGAATATATAATTATATTCAATAAAATAAGAAGGTAGGGCCATTTGTAAAGAAAAATTACAAAAGAATATAGGCTTTTATGCTATCGATAATTCTTATATTTGTTCCCCTTCAGTACGTGATGAGATTATTTCGTAATAACCTTTATTTATTTTCTCAAATCGATATTGAACCGAAGGTCCCTCAAACCCCAAGAAATTACTCCATCAACTGAGTTAAAGGGTTAAACCCGCTAGTGCTTGCTAATAATAATACAAGATAAATAAAAAATTGGGAACTTAAAAACCTGTAGGTAGGGATTGTAAAAAAAAGTTATGAAACAAGATTGGAGATTCTGTAGACATTATTTCCTCAAACTACAAACCCTTATTTTGGTTCCATGTTGCTACCTAGAATTACTCCTTCACTTTATACAAAGTGTTCAAAGCATTTAGTATTACATTAGTATCTAATGTTCATCTATTATTGGCTGGTAATTCCTGTTTCACCCTATACTTAAGCTTTTTAAAGGAACAGCAAATATTTGTAAGAAAGCTAATTTTAAGGGGTAATGATAACATCGTACTAGAATTACGATTTGTTTTAGCTTATGCAAACTACAGAAGAAACAAATCAATTTTCAATACCCCTACAACCTTCGCAGTACCTTATTTAGTATTCTACAAAAAGGTTTGGGTGCAATATATTAAGTCCTTTTTGTTGTAGGCTGGCAAGAGAATAACAATAAGAGAATTATAAACGGGCCCTTTTGAGCGAATTCTCTTTTCCTTGCAAGTCTAACATGCATGCGTTTTTGTACATTTTTATATGTATACAGCCTTAGCAGTCAATATCAAAGGTTCTTATGTGCTGTTTGAAGTGAATCTTTACTATTTAAGGTGCTTTTTACCCGAGCGTTCTATTAGGATTTTGTGCAATTCCTTGCGATCTCTATTGTGAACCATTATCATGCTTCATGATACATTTTATAACAATTCAAACTACCACATTCTTCCCCTTTCACTAACATCTCCAGTCTTCGGGCCTTATCTCAGGATCCTGGGGCAACCACTAGTTGGACGGGAGTTTTTGTTTCTAGTAGTTTCAGCTTTTGTATCTCCCGAATGTAATATTTGAACCCGGGACCACTTGCAATACGAACGAGTATTCTGTCAACTAAACTAAAGGATTAAGTCACCAGTAGCTGCGATTACAGCATTCTTTCATAAATCAGCCTACTATACTCACAGTGATTGACTGAGTCTTTCATGGAAAATATTACTGTTAAAAGTAATATTATAAGCTAGTCATGTCTATTTAAGTTATCCACGAGCCATTTACAATCACTCGGGAACAATGAGAAAAGGCCGAGCACGTGGCTTATTGCAGAAGATTGACATTTAGAAGATTCAAATAATCATAGTAGAAACGATAGGAATAAGTGGCACTAACAGATAATACTCTTGTTAGTTGCCTGGTAAATATACCTGTACGAAAAAGTTAGTGTAACCTGTCGATGTTCAACATCCATGGTAGTTTACCTAAACCGTACAAACTTGTAAATCCATGGTAGTTTACCTCAATCTTACAAACCTGCAACATTCAGGGTAGTTTACCTGAAATTTACAAACCTGCAACGTTCAGGGTAATTGATCAAGTTTACACACCTGCAACATTCAGAGTAGTTGTACAAACCTTCAACAATTAGGGTAGTTTACCTCAAGCTTGCAAACATGCAACATTCAGGTTAGCTTATTTCAGTGTGTGAGTGAATATAAGTGAAGCTTACTTTTCGATCCAACATGCCTATCATTCCACTCCAACTACCATTAGGTTTCTTCGAACCCCACTGATGGTCTTCGGGCTGGAGAACAGTGTATCTAATAGGAAAAATAACCATAAAAAATTCATTCAATGTTAAAATCTACCAAATCTATAACGTACGTTGTGATTTCGGGTAGTTTACCTCAAGTATATAAACCTTCAACATCCATGGTAGTTTACCTAAACCGTACAAGCCTGTAAATTCACGGTAGTTTACCTAAACCGTACAAACTTGTAAATCCATGGTAGTTTACCTCAACTATATAAACCTTGAATGTTTGTATATTTGAAGTCAGTTACCCTTAATGTTTGTATGCTTGAGGTAGACTACCTTGAATGTTGAAGATTTATAAGCTTGAGGTAAACTAGCTTGAATATTGAAGGTTTTTATGCTTGAGGTAAACAACTTTGAATGTTGAAGATTTTTATGCTTGAGGTAAACTACCTTGAGTGTTGCAGGTTTGTACACTTGACGTAAGCTGCCCTAAATGTTGAAGATTTGTAAGCTTGACGTAAACTACCCTGAATATTCTAGTTTTACATTCTTGAATGAACTAATTAACTACCTTTAATTATATTAGTACCACATCAACAGAATATCACTTTTGTGAACAAGATAAAATGTGTATTAACAGAATGAACTAAGTGTAATATCCGGTCATTTTAATATTTCTGCTTACAGTCAGAATATTTCTTTATATGCTTGAGAGTGAAGATCTCGACAAACTATGTAAAAACAGTTGGCGACGGCAGACAGATTTTCCAAACAATTTGTAGCCCGATCAGTACGGAATTTCACATCGAAATGTACATAAACAACATTTCAACATGAAATTTGCCAATTATTCTATGTCATATAATGTTCAATTATGTTAGCATTAAGGCAATGGTATTACGCTTATTGTATTTTTAAACACTACAATCATTACAGTCGGTGTGTGTATTCTGAACCCATTTTAACATACAAGTGTAACCTATGTACTTTTGTTGCTAAGCGACATGACATAAAAGCCATCGTTGGGATGCATTCTCATTAAAACCCATTGGCTTTTCTATGTATTAGAATTTGTTAAATACGAACCATTTCTTTTCTATGTGGTTTTTCGCTATCTTGCCTCATTAAAAAGATGCGCACGCACGTGGATAAGATAAGTAATAACATCTAGATGCATACCCTCAGAGTCCACTTAGTATGGGTGCAAAATTTCAGGCTTCTAGGCTCTTTCCTATTAAAACTGTGGCGGGCACATTTCTTTTCTATGTGGTTTTTCTCATAAAAAGTTGCGCACGCGCATGCGCGCTTGCACATAGATAAGTAATAATAACCATGCATGTATAGTTTAGTTCAATTGAATGTGTTATTTATAACAATAGTATTTTTTTCTTTTAAAAACATAACTATTTATAATACTCCCTAAATAATAAACAAATAAATTACAGTGAAAGCAATGAAGATTTTGTAGGTTTTGAAACAAA